TCGGGCATAATTTTGTTCTGCTTTTATAACTGATGGTAACTTATTATAAATTGTACCACCCTCATACTCCAAACTTCTTTTGCCATAGTTAGTTCTAGGAGGGCGGGTCACCAAGTAACTAGCACGTCTTAAGTTAGCATTTCGTGTTTGTTGTTTGGTTAAAAATTTTATATTAGAATTAATTTCCATATTTAATATTTTGCGTACTAGAATACAAGTGTAGTATGTGTACGTTTGTTTAATATTCATTAATTTTGTTTCCTCGTATATCCTTTCCGTAGGCGTCCGAAGTTTATATGCACTGAATAAGCTTTGACTTTTGTCTAAATTAATTATTTGTTTAAGTAATAGATGGCGTTAGGCGTGTGTTAAAACGCGATGGCGTAACAACGTCTTGGTATTATATAGGATTTAAGGTTTATTTAATATATTGAAGTTTTCGAAGTTTTTATAGTATAAATCAAGTGTCCCTCTCTTTAAGTAATAAATAAACAGTGAAATTGTGTTGTGTGTGTCATTCCGTGATAGGTTTTTGTTCATGGTGCCGAAACCCGGGATGGACTTTGGACTCGTGAGTTAATGCAAAAGACTTAGAATATTTATTCATTAGTGACAACTGGACTTGTAAAATTTTATAGTAATTAGTATGGACTTAGAATAATTTCAACCAATCTTGGACTTAAAATAATTTCAACAAATCTTGAACTAATTAAAAAAAGTGTTGTAAATTAAATAATTAATACATTAGTGATTTTAAATAATACACTACGTAATTTTAAATTGAAATAATGGCTTTTAACATAATAAAAAATCAAGAGGATTTACATTCAAGGCTACAAAAGGCGCATTCAAATTATAAGAAAAGTCCAAGAGTGAGAATAACAAAAGCATATGTCCAAACACGTATAAATACTTTAGATGAGTTGCTGAAGGAATTTATGGATAATCATAAGCATTTAATACAAATAGTGGTTCCAGAGCAAATAAAATCGTTTCCGTATTTTGAAGAAGACATTTGTGATTCGTTCCAAGAAATATATACTGAATATATGACAGATTTAAAAGAAAAGTTAGAACAGTTTGAGAGTTCAATATGTAGGGAAAATCAAGCAAAGGCTCATTCTGTAGATGTTATAAAATTACCACGGATACAACTACCCTCATTTTCTGGAAAATATAGTGAATGGCAGACATTTTATGATTTGTTCTGTTCTGTTATTCATAATAATGAAAAGTTGTCGCCTGCGCAGAAATTGCATTATTTAAAAAGTAGTATAGTAGGAGAACCCTTAAACTTAATAGGAAATTATTCGACTACAGATCTCAACTATGAAGAAGCGTGGAATCAATTAGTAAAAAGATATAACAACAAAAGATATAATAGTAATGCAATCCTAAAGACTTTATTTTCACAGAAAACAATTAGTGAATCATCATCAGCAATTAAACAATTATTAGATACAACAACTTCTTGTTTAAAGGCTTTGGATAATATGGGCATATCTACGGCTTCTTGGGATTCTATTGTAATTTATTTGACAGTCTCGAAAATAGATTTAGAAACACATAAACAGTGGGAAAATCACATAAATAATTTGTCAGATGATATGCCAACATGGTCGCAATTTGTTGAGTTTCTTGAGGGAAGATTTAGGAGTCTAGAGATGGTTGAGACTGGTAAACAATTACCTAAAACTAGTTTTCAAATGAAAAAACAAGTTCCTAAAACTTTTCACGCGGCAGTTCAAGAGAATAATAAAAAAAACTGAATTTAGTTGTCTTTTATGCGGAGAAAGTCATTATATTAATTTATGTAAGCAATTTAGACTTCTTACTGTTCAACAAAGAAGAGATTTTGCTCAGTCGAAAGGACTTTGTTACAATTGCTTACAAAAAGACTCACGTAGTAAATAAATGTCGACAATCGACATGTTGTAAAAAATGTGGCAGAAGACATAATACTTTGCTGCATATTGAGAGGGAAGGAAGTGACACACACATTAATAATGTATTGGAGGAAGTTCAAAACGGAGAAGAGAATCCGGTGCCAAGTACATCGATTGTAGCAAATTTTGCAAAACATCAAAGGCACAATCAACAAGTGCTTCTGGCAACAGCTGTCGTCAAGGCGAGGTCGAGGAGTGGAAATAGGAGTATATTGCGGGTTTTGTTAGATCAAGGCTCGCAAGCTTCGTTTATCACAGAAGCGGCTGCTCAATTATTAAATTTAAAAAAATTATCTGTTAATTGTAATGTTTCAGGTCTGGGAGATGGTCAAATGCATGTAAAATATTTAGTTATATTGTATTTAGAATCTCGCCATAATCCAGAATGTTTAATTCGAGTTAATGCTTACGTGTTACGGTCACTCACTGATATGCTGCCTTGTGACAGAATTGATTTACCTGATTGGAAGGAACTTTCTACGTTAGAATTAGCTGATCCAGGTTATACTGTACCAGGTAAAATAGATTTATTGGTAGGAGCTGAGGTATACTCAGATATATTGTTAGATGGCCTAATAAAACAACCCAAAGGAAAACTTATCGCACAAAATACGGCCTTTGGTTGGGTTTTTATCGGGAAAAATGTCTGATACTTATTCCACAGCTAACATTACGAGTTTACATTTGCAAGTCGAACAGGAAGATGATTATCTAAAACGTTTTTGGGAGATAGAGGCTGAACCAGATAGGATTCAGAAGAGACTTTCTGTGGAAGAGCAAATGTGTGAAACACTTTATGAGGCTACGACTACTAGAAATGAGAATGGAAGGTTCATTGTTACATTACCATTTAAAAAATAAGGATCCAGAATGTCAGTATGGACAATCTATGGATATTGCAATGAAAAGATTGGTGTCGTTAGAAAGAAGATTATCTAATAATTTTTGGTTACGTGAAGAGTATACAAAAGTGATTGAAGAATATTTGACACTTGGCCACATGTCTCGAGTTGCAGAAGATGATGTGGATAACAGTACTGCAGTGTATCTTCCTCACCATGCAGTGGTGAGAGAAGATAAGGAAACCACTAAAGTGCGCTTGGTTTTCAATGCATCTAGTAAGGGTATGAATGATGTTTCGCTAAATGACGATCTTATGGTTGGACCGAAAATCCAGCAAGATTTAAGACATATTTTAATGAGGTGGCGAACTCATCGAATTAGCATTGTTCCTGATTTAGTTAAGATGTATAGACAAGTATTAATTGATTCTGCGCAAACTAATTTTCAGCGGATTTTATGGAGGCCACATCCAGACATGCCTGTGGAACATTATAAGTTACTTACGCTAACTTTTGGAACAGCTTGTGCTCCGTACCTAGCTGTAAAGACTTTACAACGACTGGCATATGAAGAGAAGAGGAAGTTTCCAGTGGCAGCGTCTATTACAACAACTGATTTTTACGTTGATGATTTGATGACAGGAACTGAGACTATTGATGAAGCTAAAGAAGTATACGATGAAATGAATGCTTTAATGACATCTGGTGGCTTTCAATTGCAAAAATGGACAAGCAATAGTAAGGAGTTATTGGATTACATTGGAAAGCAAAACAATAAAGAGGAGACATCTTTGCCAATTAAAACAGATAATATGATAAAGGTTCTGGGCGTCCAATGGAATCGAGAAACTGATAGTTTTGAATACGTTGTTGCTTTACCAGAAATAACATATCCTGTTACAAAAAGACAAGTTTTGTCTAATATTGCCCGTTTGTATGACCCTCTGGGTTGGATTTCACCAGTCGTAGTATTAGCAAAGCTTTTGATCCAGCAGATTTGGAAGCAACATCTTGATTGGGACGATCCTTTGTCAAGTGAATTTTGTGAATTATGGTTTAATTTTAGAAATGATCTTATTCATATTCAGCAATTACAAATTCCCAGATGGTTAGGTTACACCCGCAAAAGTCGAGTTGAATTACATGCATTTTCAGATGCATCTTGTTCAGCTTACTCAGCCGCAGTATACATTCGTGTAATCAGTTCAGATGATAAAATAGAAGTTCGATTAGTATCCGCGAAAACAAAGGTAGCTCCAATCGAGAAGAAAGTTTCTATTCCTCGACTAGAACTATGCGGTGCTGTACTAGCATCAAAATTAATTAACGAAATATCTCAAATTATGAAAATACCTAAAGATGATCTGTATGGATGGACGGATTCAACAATAGTTTTGGCGTGGCTTAAAGGTGGACCAAGTAAATGGATGACTTTCGTTAGTAATCGTGTCTCAGAAATACTTTCTATTATGGAATACTCTCAGTGGGGTCATGTTTCATCTGAAGCAAACCCAGCTGATTGCGCGTCAAGAGGTCTGAGTCCGCTTGAGTTACTGTCTCACACTCTATGGTGGGAAGGTCCACAATGGTTAAGAAACACGAATATTCAAATTGAAGATTTAGAAATTGGTGGTACAAATGAAGAAGGAAAAATAGTTTCAATGAATATCATAGAAAGGAATGAAAATTTTGAATGGATTAAATTTTCTAATTTAGTAAAAATGTTGAGAGTAATGTCATATTGTCGAAGATTTGTAATGAGAAAAGAAGATCGAAAAACCTTACCTAAATTTATAACAGTCACAGAAATCAATAAAACACTAGAAGTTTGCATAAAGCAAGTGCAACAATTTGCATTTGGCGAAGAAATAACAGTTATAGCAAATGGAAAAGAAGTACCTAAAAAGAGCGTGTTACGCACTCTTTGTCCCATTTTAGACAATAATGGGATTTTAAGGGTAGGCGGACGAATAAGCATGGCCAACGAAAGTTATGATGCAAGACATCCCATTATTATACCTGCTAAGTCTCACCTTACTAATTTATTAATTTCGGATGCACACGAAAAAGACTTTTGCATGGCGGTCCTCAAATCATGCTAAACTTTCTTCGTTCAAAGTATTGGATTGTACGAGTTCGAGATCAGGTTAAAAAGTATTATCGGAAATGTATTACCTGTTTAAGGTATTCTAAAGCAGCGAGAGTACAGCTTATGGGCCAACTTCCTGATGCACGACTTAAGCCGAGTAAACCATTTTTAGCAACCGGCGTTGATTATGCAGGTCCATATCATATAAAATTTTCTCCAGGACGAGGAGCTAAGACCTACAAGAGTTATATTTGTCTCTTCGTATGTATGGTAACACGAGCTATACATATTGAATTAGTCACCGATTTGACTTCTAAGGCTTTTATTGCAGCTTTTCGAAGATTTATCGCTAGGCGTGGTTATTGTCGAGATCTGTATAGCGACAATGGCACAAATTTTGTTGGTGCCAATAAACAATTGAGAGACATGTTTGATCGGTCTAAATCAAACATACCTGATGAGATTGCAAAATTACTCACATCTGAATTAACAACGTGGCATTTTATTCCACCTCAAGCACCAAATTTTGGAGGCATTTGGGAAGCCGGAGTGCGGTCTGTTAAAACACATTTGAACAAGGCAATAGGTGATAATTTAATGACATATGAAGAACTGGTTACTGTTCTATCACAGGTTGAGGCTTGCTTAAATTCAAGACCGATTTCATTGCTTAGTGACGTAGCAGATGACCCTCTCCCATTAACCCCAGGTCATTTTTTGATTGGTGAACCTCTTGTAAATATTGTTGATGACACATCAGTTATTAATTTTAATGTAAATCTTAAAGAAAGATGGAATGTCATGCAGAATATTGTTGTAAAATTTTGGAAAAAATGGTCTAAAGAATATTTGTTAACTTTAAGTCAAAGATATAAGTGGAATTTGAAACTTGAAGACCCTTGTATAAATGATATTTGTATTGTTAGGGAAGAAAACTTGCCACCGTGTAAATGGTTATTAGGTAAAATTGTAGAAAAACATACTGGTCCTGATAATATCACTAGAGTGATAACCATAAAATGTAAGAATGGCCTTATAAAGAGACCTTTAAGTAAAATAAGTATACTTCAGAAATAGATTTTTTTTTTTTTTTTTGTTACATCATGGTGGGCGGCAAGTTTGATTCAATTACGAATGTTATAATAATTCTTTCTTTTCATTGTTGTAGATTTTAGATTTATTATTAACGTATTTACCTAGTATAATATTCGAATTCTTTAACTTGTTTTTTTCTTGATGAACTTTATGTTATGTTTAACTGAACATGTTATTTTTTTGTTTGTTATGAAAGTAATTCTATCAAAATTTTGTGCAACTCTAATGTTGAAAGGACTCGTCCTTGGTGGGCGGAATGTCTAAATTAATTATTTGTTTAAGTAATAGATGGCGTTAGGCGTGTGTTAAAACGCGATGGCGTAACAACGTCTTGGTATTATATAGGATTTAAGGTTTATTTAATATATTGAAGTTTTCGAAGTTTTTATAGTATAAATCAAGTGTCCCTCTCTTTAAGTAATAAATAAACAGTGAAATTGTGTTGTGTGTGTCATTCCGTGATAGGTTTTTGTTCAACTTTATTTTTTGCAGTCGTATGCACTGAATAAGCTATTATCTATAAAGGGCATATGCACTGAACAAGCTTATCTATTAAGGGCATACGCACTGAATAAGTTTAAATATTATCTATTAAGGGCATATGCACTGAATAAGCTTTAGCTTTATCTATTACAGTCATATGCTCTGAATAAGCTATTATGTATAAAGGGCATATGCACTGAATAAGCTATTATCTATTAAGGGCATATGCACTGAATAAGCTATTATGTATAAAGGGCATATGCACTGAATAAGCTATTATCTATTAAGGGCATATGCACTGAACAAGCTTTGATATTATCTATTAAGGGCATTTGCACTGAATAAGCTTTAACTTTATCTATTACAGTAATATGCTCTGAATAAGCTATTATGTATAAAGGGCATATGCACTGAATAAGCTATTATCTACAAAGGGCATATGCACTGAATAAGTTTTAACTTTATCTATTACGGTCATATGCACTGAATAAGCTATTATCTTTTAAGGGCATATGCACTGAATAAGCTTTAACTACCTCTTGCAGTCATATGCACTGAATAAGCTTTAATATGATATATTTTAATACTATCTATTAAGGGCAAATGCACTGAATAAGCTTTCACTTTATCTATTACAGTCATATGCACTAAATAAGCTATTATCTATTAAGGGCATATGCACTGAATAAGCTATTATCTATAAAGGGCATAAGCACTGAATAAGCTTTAACTATCTATTGCATTCATATGCACTGAATAAGTTTTAATATTATATATTAAGGGCATATGCACTGAATAAGCTTTAACTTTATCTATTACAGTCATATGCACTGAATAAGCTATTATCTTTTAAGGGCATATGCACTGAATAAGCTTTAATATTGTCTATTAAGGGCATATGCACTGAATAAGCTTTAACTTTATCTATTACAGTCATATGCACTGAATAAGCTATTATCATTAAGGGCATATGCACTGAATAAGCTTTAACTATCATTCATCATCTTTAACTTTGATCAGCACCAATTTGCAAGTTCGTTTTGCAGATTGTCGGCATTCATGGGGGCTCTTTGATTATTGTTAATAAAAATTTAAAGTATAAAGAGCGTAATGACATCGTGTGTCTGTCTGTAGAACACTCTTTGGAAGTAGCCTGTATAGAGATTGAGAATTGCATTATTTTAAGTGTTTACAGACCACCAAGTGCATCTTACGTTTTTGAAGAAAAGTTGGAGGAAATTTTGTGTAAAGTTAGTTTTAAGAACAATAAGTATATTATTGTATGTGGTGACTTCAATATAAATTTATTAGAAAATACCTCCATTAGTAAAAAATTCAATCTGTTATTAAAATCTTACAATCTTGTTAACTTGTTTCTTGAGCCCACTAAATTACAAGCTCCACTGCTACATGTATAGATAATGTATTTACAGATGCAGAGGCAATGCAAACCTCAATTACAACTGATCTTAGCTCAGATCATTGTGGACAGTTAGTGGCGCTAAAATGTAAAGTGGTGAAACAAGTAAATAAGAGCAGTGTGTTTGTTCCAGTGAATAAAAAGCGAATGGTGAGATTTAGACATAATATAGGTAAACGCCTACCTTTATTACCGGTAGGTACTACCGTTGATACACAATACAACAATCTAAGTGATTGTATTAATAAAGAGTTCAACACCATCTTTACCCCAAAGAAAGTCTCTCATTCGCAGTGTAAATCGTTTAGTGATTGGGCGACAGCGGGAATTTATAAAAGTAGACAACGGTTGTATGACCTTTACGCTGAAAAGTCATACAATCATAATGAAGAATTTATTCTTTATGTTCGAAATTATTCGAAATTATTTAAGAAAGTTTGTTACGCGGCCAAGTCCTTAAATATCAAAAACAAGATTAAAAAATAGTACCAATAAAACTAAAATGACTTGGAAGATAATTGATAGTGAAACTGGAAGAGTCAGGGATCGCAATCAAGACATCGAACTATGTGTCGATAACACTATAATCAAATCTAACGAAGAGATAGCGATTGTTTTTGATAAGTATTTTTCTGACATTCCAATTTCGACTACTAAGTCTCTTCAATCATCTCCGCCCTCGCCGAATCGCTGCTCAAAGATAATGTAAACGAGTGCAAGGTCAGTTTTTCATTCCGACCCATTGGTGCCGACGATATAGTGAGGATATTTAGAACCATAGATATTAAGAACACTACCGATCTTTGGGGTATTTCTGTAAAAATAATTAGTAGCATAATTGATGTAATTGCTCCCCATCTAGCTATAATTTTCAACAATTGTATTAAAAGTGGCGAGTTTCCCGATCTAATGAAACATAGTAAAGTTATTCCTTTATTTAAAGCAGGTAGTATGTCCGACCCCAGTAACTTTAGACCAATTTCCGTACTACCTACTTGTAGTAAAATATTTGAAAAAATTATATTAAATCAACTGGTAAGTCATTTTAACGTAAACAAATTATTACATAATAATCAGTTCGGTTTTTACCAAGGGTCGCTCGACAGCCGATGCCGGTGTTGAGTTATATAGATATATAGTTAAGGCTTGGGAGGAGTCGTATGACGCTTTAGGTGTTTTCTGCGACTTATCCAAAGCATTTGATTGTGTCCAACACGAGACCTTAATCGGGAAACTCCGCCACTATGGCATCAAGAATACCGCACTGAATCTTCTGACTTCCTATTTACACGGAAGAACTCAGAAGGTTGAAGTGAATGGTAAGAGGTCCTCTGGGTCGGCAGTAGATATGGGGTACCACAGGGCTCAATTCTTGGCCCTTTCCTCTTTCTTGTTTATATAAATGATCTACCTTTCATGGTAGAGAGAAAACATCAGATAGTTTTGTTTGCTGATGACACGTCCTTGATTTTTAAAATCAAACGACAAATAACAAATTTTGACGATGTGAACAATGCTCTGTCTTCGATTGTCCATTGGTTTAGTATGAATAACCTTTTACTTAATGCAAAAAAGACAAAATGCATTAAATTTTGTGCAAAAAATGCAAGGGTTATGGATACTAGACCAATTATAAACAGTGAGGAATTGAATCTGGATGATACAACTGTATTTCTCGGAATCACCATGGATTCAAAACTTCAGTGGTCCCCTCATATTAACGGATTGGCGAAGAGACTTAGTTCTGCAGCCTACGCGGTTAAAAAAATTCGCTCACTAACTGATGTCGATACAGCTAGACTTGTTTATTTTAGTTACTTTCATAGCTTAATGACTTATGGCTTATTATTATGGGGTCATGCTGCTGATGTCGAAACTATTTTCATCCTGCAGAGAGGGCTATTCGTGCAATCTATAATTTAAAATGTAGGGAATCTCTTAGAGATAAATTCAAGGAAATTAATATACTTACCTTTCCCTCGCATATATTTATGAAAATATTATGTATGTATACAAAAATAGTGATAAGTTTACTAGAATAGAACATACGCACAATGTTAATACACGGAACAAACGCAGGCTGCAATTTCCCCGTACTAGACTATCTAAAGTTAGTAATTCTTTTTTTTGGGAAAGGGATACTCTTCTTTAATAAAATCCCAGAGGCTCTTTTATCACTGCCTTTCAATAAATTTAAGAAATGTATTAAAGAAAAGCTGTGTAAAAAGGCTTACTATAAAGTCAACGATTATCTAGTTGATAAAAGGGCCTGGGACTAGTGCTAGACAGGCTACTTCTAATCAATTTGCGATATTTGTTTTAAATAAGTGTTGTTTGATGATTTGCTGTTTTAAAAGAGTACCGAGAGTTTTTTACGCCGGCTTTTCTCTCGGCCTACACCCTCTGTCTTCTTTGCCGATGAGTAGGGATGCCTTCAAATTTAATGACGTGGAATAAGTGATACATGTATCTTATGTTCCATAATAAACATATTTTATTTTATTTTTTTATTTTATTTTTTATCTATTGCAGTCATATGCACTGAATAAGCTATAATATTATATATTAAGGGCATATGCACTGAACAAGCTTATCTATTAAGGGCATACGCACTGAATAAGCTTTAATTTTATCTATTGCAGTCATATGCACGGAATAAGCTATTATCTATTAAGGGCATATGCACTGAATAAGCTATTATCTATAAAGGACATATGCACTCAATAAGGTTTAACTTTATCTATTACAGTCATATGCACTCAATAAGGTTTAACTTTATCTATTACAGTCATATGCACTGAATAAGCTATTATCTTTTAAGGGCATATGCACTGAATAAGCTTTAACTATCTATTGCAGTCGTATGCACTGAATAAGCTATTATCTTTATCTATCTATCAGTGATCTGCGGAACGCCTTACGCACAGGACGTATCCTTGTGTACAAAAATTCGTATCGCGAAATTAAATATCTATAAGTAAAGGAACTGTTACTAAACTACGATTAATTGGTATATTTAAATATCAAAGTTAAGTGTTTCCGTATTATTCTATCCTTAATGTAAATGTGATTTGAGTTGTGAAGTGAATTGAACGTGATTTTTAAACTTTTTTTCTTTATTCTAACTTTGATATCTGATAAAACATACAACAAGACAGCAATGTCGAAATGTGGGGAATGCAATGAATGCCTCCTTGATGGGGCAGTTTGCTCATCATGTAAACAGACTTTCCACTATAAACAATTATATATCCTATATATATAATTATATATTCCTATTTGTATTCCTATACAAATAGGAATTACAGAGGGAGGATATCGAAAACTGGGTGATAGAAAATCTACTTGGCGATGCCCTAAGTGTAAATAAGGTGGACAAATGAATACACCGACACTTTCTCCAATGCAAGAACCATCGCGTAAGTTGTTAGACATCGCGTAAGTTGTTGACGAATGACAGCCTTCGAAGAATTAGTAAGCCAGATAAAGTTAATGAGAGATGAGTTTTCTGGGCTACAATCCTTAGTCGTAGAAGCTAGCACAATTGTAAAGGACTTTGGGTTAAGACTCCAAAATATAGAGGATAGGCTTTTGGATGTGGAAAAAACCAAAGAACTTATTAATAATTTACAAAGCAGAGTGGATGTCTTAGAATGTGAAAAGGATGCGGCTGAGCAATGGAATAGAATGAACAACGTTGAGTTAAAGGGAGTACCACAGACGGCGAATGAAAACCTGCTTGATTTAATAGTAAGCATAGGATCTAAAGTAAATTATGCTGTGACTAAATAGCAGTTAAATTTTATAGCCCGAACACCATCGAGGGATTCTAATCATCCGAAGCCGATTGTTGCGTGTTTCAATAGCAGGTATGTTAAGGAGAACTTTGTGGCGGCAGTCAGATCATTTAACAGGGAGAGTTCCCTTTCCGCCAACCTATTAGGACTTAGAGGCTCCGCCAAAATATTTGGAAATGATCACCTGACTTCTCGCAACAAGATTCTTTTAAATAAGACAAAGCAGTTAGCCAAGGAAATGGACTGGCGGTATGTTTGGATCAAGCACTGTAAGATTCAAGTGCGAAGAGGTGACTCATCGCCAGTTCTCACAATAAAGTCAGACAAGGATCTTCAGAAAATAACGAAAGGTGGAATGTGACTTTATTTTCACACGGTATTTCACCCAGCTCAATTATATATAATATTATCATCATTACTTTTTATTATTGATACATTGCATTTGAGAATCACTGGCTTCACTAGATCTCTCTTTTGTTCGCACTGGGTCGACCGGTTTGTCACAGGTAGATACTTTAATACGTTTGCTAATTACAACTCTGATGCTACAATCATAAGGCTGATGTCCTGCTGTAATTCACTGTTTGCAAAATTAATATCTTATAGCATACTGAGGGTACTTAATAATTTGCATCATTTTATTTGGCTATATTGTCTCACTTATTTTGATATTGCATTAAGACTTTCGGTAATGTTAATCGAGTTGGTATTATATAAGATATATCAGTATTTCTGCATGCCATCTAAATTATTTAATATTCTTCACAGTTCTATTGTCTCAAATAGAATTATTTACAAATCGTATAACTGTTCTTTATTTTTACGCATTATGTAAAGTAAAGAAACTGCTATTTCAATGTGGGTTCAACTATGTCAACTTTAGGCTAGCGATAGATAAAGTAATTGTACTTATAAACAATATCATTTATTTCAAAATATTAACGTCTACTATATTCGTAGTAAATAACTTAACTTTCGGGACATCATCGATACAACTCAACTTTTATGTAATACATAATATGTATATTATTAATAATTTAAATGACAACTTTTATCAACTGGTTACGTATATATCGTTAAAAGGGTTTTATTATTTAACATGCTTTTGCAACTATTCTATAGAAGTATTTTTATTAAATTTAGCCATAAAGTTATTGTTTCACACTCGATCTTGATACGTTGAAAATATACTACCAAAATGTACGTGGTTTACCCACAAAGTGTAGCAACTTTCTTAGAAATGTATTACTCCATTCTTACGACGTTATATCGTTAACTGAAACGTGGTTGGTTGATGGCGTCTATGACAGTGAAATTTTTGATAGTAGATATGTTATATGGAGACGTGACAGAGACTATGACAAAACCAAGCAGAGTAAGGGCAGCTGAAGACATTTGGATCACTATTGCACAATTCGGAAAAGAACATGGGCACTTCAATAACCTTCATATTTGTACCTTATATCTGTGTGCCGAAAACGCCGGTAACACACACTCAATTCAGTTAAATAACTTTACACAGAGGTTAAATGAAGTTGTCCTAGAAAATCATCAGGATACATTTCTTATCCTGGGTGATTTTAATCTTGGAAATATAAACTGGGAATTTGGTGGTAGCGGTTGCATGTGATTCCAAGCTGTTACTCCGGAGAGCAACAAATTGAATTTATAGATTAGAGGTGTGCAATTTGTGCCAATACAATTACGTGATAAACTTTAACGGTAGAATATTGGACCTCGTTTTATCTAACAAACAAGTAGTAGTAACTGCGTGCGATGACCCATTAACCGTAGAAGACCCTCACCACAGAACCTTGTGCATATGTGTTAAATCCTTAGTTTCAGATACTTTGAGGGACAACACTAATGTCAGATATTTATATAACAAAGGTAACTACGATAAAATAAATAATGAACTTAGATGCGTGGATTGGATCAATGTTTTATCAGATAATGACCTTGAAACAGCGGTATCAAAATTCTATGAAATTTTGTACAATATTCGTGATCGATATATTATACCAATAAAAAATCATAAAACTAATAAATACCCCCCGTGGTACACATTACCTCTTATCAAAATGATCAGGGAGAAATCTAAATATCACCGTAAATTCAAAATTTATAAAAACCTGTCGGACTATGAATCTTTTTCTATCTTAAGAACGCGAATAAAAAAGTTCGAAAAATAATGTTTTGCAAATTTTATTGAATGAACTGAGAACTCTATTAGTAATAACCCAAAAAGCTTTTGGTCATACGTTAAAAGTAAAAGGGGAGACCATGCTTTTCCTAGTACTATGTACTATAATGATCTCAAAGCAGACAATGGTGAAGATATAGCTAATTTGTTTGTTCAATATTTCAAGTCTACATATTGTGATTGCTTTCGGATACCACTTTATCTTTACCACAGCAAGACAGTATCTCTCACATCTCAACAATTGGCATACAACCCAATAAAATTAAAAAATTGTTAAAAAATTTAGATCTCAGTAAATCGGGAGGACCCGATCTAATCTCACCAATTTTTTTGACACAGTGTGCTGAAAACCTATCCCTACCAATTTCTCATTTATTTAAACGTTCTTTACATAAAGGTTTAGTTCCTAATTTATGGAAAGCTGCTTTTATTACACCAGTTCACAAAAAAGGCGATAAAGCAAATATCGATAACTATCGCCCACTATCCAAACTGTGTCTTGTTGCCAAAATATTTGAAAAAATAGTATATGAACAAGTTTACGTAGCTGTAAAACCGCACCTAGGTTCGGAACAACATGGTTTCTTAAAAAATCGTTCAACAACATCAAGTTTAATTGCTGCTAATGAGTATATCACAGATGGTATGGACCACGGTAAACAGGTTGATGTCATCTATACTGATTACAGTAAATGCTTTGACCGCATAGACCACAGCATTCTCCTTGGGAAGTTGTGGGCGGTGGGTATACACGGCGACCTATTTTGTTGGTTCAAATCGTATATCGAAAAACGATCGCAGGCTGTTGTTTTACAAGGTTTCGCATCGAGGTGGATTAATATAACGTCAGGAGTACCGCAAGGATCCATGCTAGGACCGTTACTGTTTATTCTATTTGTGAACGATATTCAAACTTGCTTCCTACATTCTAAAATATTATTATACGCGGACGATATGAAAATCTTAAAATATATCTCTACTAAAGAAGACTCATCTGACCTACAAGAGGATTTAAATAGATTTGAAGCTTATTGTCAAATTAATAAACTTGATCTTAACGTATCCAAATGTTTTTCCATGACATACTAAAGAAGAAAAAAGAAAATTATACACGCTTATGAACTTAAAAAATCTGTAGTAAAAAATGTTAACGTAATCAAAGATCTTGGAGTGTTACATGATAGCAAACTTCTATTTGATACTCATATTAATAGCATTGTTCGCAAAGCTTATAAAATGTTAGGATTTATCTTAAGGACATCAACAAACTTCACCCAAGTGAAGACACTTAAAACTCTGTACTTTGCCTATGTTAAATCTAACGTAGAGTACGCCTCGCAAGTATGGAACCCACAATATGCCGTTTATAACAATCGTATAGAACTCATTCAAAAGAAATTTATCAGACACCTCCAATATAAAGATAAGACTTTCCTGGCTGACTACTTAACTAGATGTAACCATTTCCACATTCTTCCTCTCTCAGTTAGGCGTGAGATTGCAGATATTACATATTTGATAAATTTAGCTACAGGTAAAGTTGACTGTCCTGAGCTACTAAGTAAGTTGTGTCTCCGTGTGCATAATAGGGCGCTAAAAAATATGCACCTATTGTACACACCGAAAGTTAACACCAATTACAGAGGGAACAGCTTTATGGTTAGGGCGGCGAGTAAGTTTAATAGTCTAACTTGTGATATTGACCTATTCGCCTCAAGCGTGGGGTCGGCAAGGAGAGCTATGACATCTGAGCTCCTCAGTGGAATGAATGATGTACCATAAGTTTTTATAAGTGTACATATAAGTTATACTAAACTGTTTAGCGTTACTTAGCCAATTTTTACTTCGTTTATTACTTTCTTTGATATATATTTATTTAGTTGAATAAAATCATTTTATTGTTACCAATACAGTTAATATTATTAGTTCTTAACTATTTGTAAAGATTTTTTTAATGGCGTAAAAGAATATTGTATTTAGTAAGTAAGTTAGTAATAAGCTGTAAATCTTTCTGAATAAATAAAATAAAATAAAATAAAGGGCATATGCACTGAATAAGCTTAACTTTATCAATTGCAGTCATTTCAAGCTATTATCTATTAAGGGCATATGCACTGAACAAGCTTATCTATTGAGGGCAAACGCACTGAATAAGCTTTAATATTATCTATTTAGGGCATATGCTATGAATAAGCTTATCTATTAAGGGCATATGCACTGAACAAGCTTATATATAAAGGGCATACGCAATGAATAAGCTTTGATATTATCTATTAAGGGCATATGCACTGAATAAGCTTTAACTTTATCTATTACAGTCATATGCACTGAATAAGCTATTATCTATAAGGGACATATGCACTCAATAAGGTTTAACTTTATCTATTACAGTCATATGCACTGAATAAGCTATTATCTATTAAGGGCATATGCACTGAATAAGCTTTAACTATCTATTGCAGTCGTATGCACTGAAAAAGCTATTATCTATAAAGGGAATATGCACTGAACAAGCTTTGATATTATCTATTAAGAGCATATGCACTGAATAAGCTATTATCTATAAAGGGCATATGCACTGAATAAGTTTTAACTTTATCCATTACAGTCATATGCACTGAATAAGCTATTATCTATTTAGGGCATATGCACTGAATAAGCATTAACTATCTATTGCAGTCATATGCACTGAATAAGCTTTAACTATCTATTGCAGTCATATGCACTGAATAAGCTTTAACTTTATCAATTGCATTCCTATGCACTGAATAAGCTTTAACTTTATCTATTACAGTCATATGCACTGAATAAGCTATTATCTATAAAGGGCATATGCACTGAATAAGCTTTAACTTTATCTATTACAGTCATATGCACTGAATAAGCTATTATCTATTAAGGGCATATGCACTGAAAAAGCTTTAACTATCTATTGCAGTCATATGCACTGAATAAGCTTTAATATTAAATATTTTAATACTATCTATTAAGGGCAAATGCACTGAATAAGCTTTCACTTTATCTATTACAGTCATATGCACTAATATATTTATTATATACACTATATTATTTTATTATTTATTTATATACACTATATTTAATATTAAATAGGGTGTCCCAAAAGTCGACGTCAAGTCGAAATTTTCTCATAGGTAATGCCACACCAGTTATCAGAAAAATTAAAAAAAAATTAAGTCATGTATTTTTGAAGTTATGGAAATTTTCCTTTTATTCCAGAAAATTTACATGTGATAGTTTTTTCATTCCTGTTGTTACAAATATTTATTTTTTGCCAATTTTTTTTCTCTTACGTCATCCCGAATAGTGTTTTATGTAACCTATGATCCTAAACTCTGTGCTGATCACTCCAACTTTTAGGAAAATGTCATTTTATACCGTACCAAGTTTTCAAAATTAATTTTCGCACTACTTCAACTGATCGTCCTGAAAAAAAATGTATTACTCCAGTTTGGCAAGTAGCTTTAAAAGTTAGCGCATTTAATAAGGATTCTACAGTGGTATAACACTGAGTCCATTATCTATCCATCTGTCTGGATACTCCTCGTTAAGGTGGTTTCGAACTAAGCGGCTGTAATGCGCTGGACAACCATCTTGATCGAACCACATATCTCGTAAAATAGTAACCGGCACGTCCTCCAGCAAATTGGGCAAATGATTTTGTAAGAAATCTAAATAAATTTCAGCATTTAAAACTTCTGGTAACTCAAAAGGCCCTATGACTTTTCCGTTCAAAATTCCAGTCCACATGTTAACTTTGAAACGGTACTGTGATCTGTCTGGTCTCATCAATCGTGGATTTTCGACGTGCCACTCGTGCAGATTGTGTAGGTTCATGTAGCCGTCTTTTTTAAAAGTTGATTCATCCGACCATAAAAAATTTTCTAAGAATTGTGGGTCTTTTCGGTGTTTTTGAATTATTGTTTGGCAAAAAGCAACCCGAGGTTCATAATCTCGAGGTAATAAGGATTGTACTCGCTGTACATGAAATGGATGGAACTCAATTTTTTGTAGTATTCGGTGAGCTGTACTTTTCGGCACAACTGTGCTGGCCTCAATTCCACGTACCGAACAACTTGGGTCCTCATCAACTGCTTGAAGGACAACTGCCTCGTAGGGTAGTGAAATTCTACCTTCACCGTGCACTTGGTTTGGCAGTCGGCCCTCAGAGAACAGTAGACGGTGCACATTGGTAAAAACTCTGTGATCCGGATAGCGATCTGCATTAGGGTATCTCTCACGATACCGTCTAGCGGCTTCACTGGCATTACATAAACATTCCCCATAAATGAGGTGCATGTTAGCATATTCCTGTGTAGTGTACGTAGCCATGGTATGGTACAAATACACAATAACACGTAAGTCCAGGGAAAAGTAAAGGTCGTCGTAGATCACAAATGTAAAATCCAAATCACAAGCAAACAAGTCCGTAAACGAAGCCAAAGTAGTTAGAACACAAAATAACACCAGCGAATACGAAAAGATGCGTAGTAAACGAAGGAGCGTTGCGTACTGACCTGTAGTGCGTGTGTCAATAGATTAGCAATAAGTAGCGTCACTATCTGTCTCGCTCACACTTTACGCCATCTTATTTTAACCACGCTGTGGTTATTAGGAACGCTTTGGGTACACTAGAATCGTTTGTAATTCCAGAGAAATTTTTAAAAAACAGACTTTGTTTAACAAAAGAATTTTTTATGGCCGATCTAAGAAATAATGAAGTAAGTATTCATCATTAATTTGTAATTCCAGAGAAATTTTTAAAAAACAGACTTTGTTACCAAAAGAATTTTTTATGGCCGATCTAAGAAATAATGAAGTAAGTATTCACTTACTTCATTATTTCTTCTTCTAGATCCTTATTAAATGCGCGAACTTTTAAAGCTGCTTGCCAAACTGGAGTAGTACATTTTTTTTTCAGGACGGCCTGGCAGCCTTAGTGCTGGTGCTCTTTTGAGAGTATTACGGGCGCTGTCCCGAATGATGTGTTCTTTGAACACATATCAGGCGCAGTCCTGACAGCCTAAGTGCTGGTGCTCTTTTGAGAGTATTACGGGCGCTGTCCCGAATGATGTGTTATTTGAACACATATCAGGCGCAGTTCTGACAGCCTTAGTGCTGGTGCTCTTTTGAGAGTGTTACGGGTGCTGACCTGAAAGAACACATATTAGGCGCAGTCCTGACAGCCTAAGTGCTGGTGCTCTATTGAGATTATTACGGGCGCTGTCCCGAATGATGTGTTCTTTGAACACATATCAGGCGCAGTCCTGACAGCCTTAGTGCTGGTGCTCTTTTGAGAGTGTTACGGGTGCTGACCTGAATGAACACATATCAGGCGCAGTCCTGACAGCCTTAGTGCTGGTGCTCTTTTATGAGTATTACGGGCGCTGTCCCGAATGATGTGTTCTTTGAACACATATCAGGCACAGTCCTGAAAGCCTTAGTGCTGGTGCTCTTTTGAGAGTGTTACGGGTGCTGACCTGAAAGAACCAAATTAGGCGCAGTCCTGACAGCCTTAGTGCTGGTGCTCTTTTATGAGTATTACGGGCGCTGTCCCGAAAGATGTGTTCTTTGAACACAAATCAGGCGCAGTCCTGACAGCCTTAGTGCTGGTGCTCTTTTGAGAGTGTTACGGGTGCTGTCCCGAATGATGTGTTTCTTTAAACACATATCAGGCGCAGGCCTTGTACCTCAGTGCTGGTGCTCTTTTATGAGTATTACGGGCGCTGTCCCGAATGATGTGTTCTTTGAACACATATCAGGTGCAGTCCTGACAGCCTTAGTGCTGGTGCTCTTTTGAGAGTGTTACGGGCGTTGTCCCGAATGATGTGTTTCTTTAAACACATATCAGGCGCAGGCCTGGCAGCCTTAGTGCTGGTGCTCTTTTGAGAGTATTACGGGCGCTGTCCCGAATGATGTGTTTCTTTAAACACATATCAGGCGCAGGCCTTGTACCTCAGTGCTGGTGCTCTTTTATGAGTATTACGGGCGCTGTCCCGAATGATGTGTTCTTTGAACACATATCAGGTGCAGTCCTGACAGCCTTAGTGCTGGTGCTCTTTTGAGAGTGTTACGGGCGTTGTCCCGAAAGATGTGTTCTGTGAACACATATCAGGCGCAGTCCCGAAAGATGTGTTCTATGAACACATATCAGGCGCAGTCCTGACAGCCTTAGTGCTGGTGCTCTTTTGAGAGTGTTACGGGCGTTGTCCCGAAAGATGTGTTCTGTGAACACATATCAGGCGCAGTCCTAACAGCCTTAGTGCTGGTGCTCTATTGAGATTATTACGGGCGCTGTCCCGAATGATGTGTTCTTTGAACACATATCAGGCGCAGTCCTAACAGCCTTAGTGCTGGTGCTCTTTTGAGAGTGTTACGGGTGCTGACCTGAATGAACACATATCAGGCGCAGTCCTGACAGCCTTAGTGCTGGTGCTCTTTTATGAGTATTACGGGCGCTGTCCCGAATGATGTGTTCTTTGAACACATATCAGGCACAGTCCTGAAAGCCTTAGTGCTGGTGCTCTTTTGAGAGTGTTACGGGTGCTGACCTGAAAGAACCAAATTAGGCGCAGTCCTGACAGCCTTAGTGCTGGTGCTCTTTTATGAGTATTACGGGCGCTGTCCCGAAAGATGTGTTCTTTGAACACAAATCAGGCGCAGTCCTGACAGCCTTAGTGCTGGTGCTCTTTTGAGAGTGTTACGGGTGCTGTCCCGAATGATGTGTTTCTTTAAACACATATCAGGCGCAGGCCTTGTACCTCAGTGCTGGTGCTCTTTTATGAGTATTACGGGCGCTGTCCCGAATGATGTGTTCTTTGAACACATATCAGGTGCAGTCCTGACAGCCTTAGTGCTGGTGCTCTTTTGAGAGTGTTACGGGCGTTGTCCCGAATGATGTGTTTCTTTAAACACATATCAGGTGCAGGCCTGGCAGCCTTAGTGCTGGTGCTCTTTTGAGAGTATTACGGGCGCTGTCCCGAATGATGTGTTTCTTTAAACACATATCAGGCGCAGGCCTTGTACCTCAGTGCTGGTGCTCTTTTATGAGTATTACGGCGCTGTCCCGAATGATGTGTTCTTTGAAACATATAGCAGTCCTGAAGCCTTAGTGCTGGTGTCTTTTGAGAGTGTTACGGGTGCTGTCCCGAATGATGTGTTTCTTTAAACACATATCAGGCGCAGGCCTTGTACCTCAGTGCTGGTGCTCTTTTATGAGTATTACGGGCGCTGTCCCGAATGATGTGTTCTTTGAACACATATCAGGTGCAGTCCTGACAGCCTTAGTGCTGGTGCTCTTTTGAGAGTGTTACGGGCGTTGTCCCGAATGATGTGTTTCTTTAAACACATATCAGGCGCAGCCTTTACCTCAGTGTGTGTCTTTTATGAGTATTACGGGCGCTGTCCCGAAAGATGTGTTCTTTGAACACATATCAGGTGCAGTCCTGACAGCCTTAGTGCTGGTGCTCTTTTGAGAGTGTTACGGGCGTTGTCCCGAAAGATGTGTTCTGTGAACACATATCAGGCGCAGTCCGAAAGATGTGTTCTATGAACACATATCAGGCGCAGTCCTGACAGCCTTAGTGCTGGTGCTCTTTTGAGAGTGTTACGGGCGTTGTCCCGGAAGATGTGTTATTTGAACACATATCAGGCGCAGTCCTGACAGCCTTAGTGCTGTTGCTCTTTTTAGAGTATTACGGGCGCTGTCCCGAAAGATATGTTTTGTGAACATATATCAGGCGCAGTCCTGACAGCCTTAGTGCTGGTGCTCTTTTGAGAGTGTTACGGGCGTTGTCCCGAAATATGTGATCTGTGAACACATATCAGGCGCAGTCCTGACAGCCTTAGTGCTGGTGCTCTTTTGAGAGTGTTACGGGCGTTGTCCCGGAAGATGTGTTATTTGAACACATATCAGGCGCAGTCTTGGCAGCCTTAGTGCTGTTGCTCTTTTTAGAGTATTACGGGCGCTGTCCCGAAAGATGTGTTCTGTGAACACATATCAGGCGCAGTCCTGACAGCCTTAGTGCTGGTGCTCTTCTTAACTTGGAACTTGGAAAAGTCACACACTGCACTTATTTGCCTTGCTTAATTCACTTAAAACAACATACTAGCAATATTAGGGGAATTTCTATTTTTAATTGTATTTTTACACGGGAGCCGATGTGTACGGTAGGTACGGTACCCACAGTTTTAAACTAATTAATACCTAATAATAACCTTTTTTCAGAAGGCTAATAAAAATCATTTATTATTGAATTTTTATTGACTTAAACATCGAAATATCAAAATTAAACTTTCACTTTCTTCTTCTTGGGCTTGATCTGTAAGGGTCCAGCGATTTTGAATACCGTGCTGAAACAAGAATACGTGTAAAATATTCTTTATCTATATTTTTTGTGATTAATGAAATGAGACCCGCCGTGACATGACGTGACAACGTCTTATAATTCGATGGAGCCGGCTGCACGTACGAAAAAACATGACTCATGCGCCGTTACCTCGCTCTGAGGCGTTCCATTTAAGGCTTGAAGTGCAAGCGAGAGCTCGGGACGAGCGACAAAGAGGCACAATCGGCCTCCGCGTTCAATTCAATTCAATTGTGATTTCCATTTACCTCCTTCTCTATATTCATACAAAATATCTATCAAACAAATAAAATTAAAAATTTCTTTTGAAACATGCAACCATTCCATCAGTATTTTCTTATGACATTGTCACGTTCAACTATCGTCAGTAAACCGACTTTACAGACAACCGATTTTTTTTTTTTTCATTAAAAAAGATTCCATCAAGGCTTTTCACTTATTGAATTTGTAATTTGAGGTCTTTTGTTTTGTGTTCTTATGGTAATGTTAGTCTGTGTCGACTGGTATGTAGATTGTTATGTTATAAGTATTGTATGTGCACGCCGTGCGAACATATAAAATTTATAACTTCTATCCTGTTTTTTGTTGTGTTGCCTTGTTGGCGCCTATTTATAAATAAATAAACTGTTTAGTGTACCAATCTAGAGAATGTTATTGCCCAGAAAGTAACCAATAAAAAATCGCGAGAGGGAAAAAGAATTAAATCGCTTCAACTGCGTAGAATATATAAAAAACTTACTGGCATGTGGTACATATAGGGCTGAATTTGCAGAACACTGAAAAAAAAAGAAAAAATTTTAAGCTTTAAAAAAGACAACATTTTTTTTAATTACTGTGTGCAAACTTAGTGTTGCCTCTTTTTCCATTACAGACATCATTTGACAGATTGGACAGATGAATACTAATAAATAAATAATTATAAGATTGATACATTTTTTATGTACGGAAATTCAACCATGATGATTTTTAATTTTTAAAAGTCAAATGCCTTTGTAATCAAAGACGATAAAAATAGATTAATACATTTCTTCGGCACATAATCTTTAAAAAATCCAGTATCACTACAACCTTTTTGGGTGTGGGCCTTAGATTTCTGCATCTGTTTCATGATCATTTGTCAATCTAACAGGCAAGTAGATGATCAGCCTCACGCCGTCTACTTTTTTGGGTCTAAGGCATGCCGGTTTCCTAACAATGTTTTCCTGCACCGTCCGAGGGAATATTGAATGCGCACATAGTCAGCTACTCCATTGGTGCACAGCCGGGCTTGAACCTACGACCTCAAGGATGAGAGTCGCACGCTGAAGCCACCAACACTGCTCTCATAATCTTAAACTTTGTCAAATTTTACGATCGTGTGTTCGCGCAATCCCCTTATATTGTGTATAATCCCCTTATAAGTTTTCGCCTTTAAATATAATTAGATAAGGAGTTAAAGACGAATCGATCGATTAAACAATTTTAACAGAAATTATCGACCTTTCAAAATTTTTGATATAAAAATTATTGTGGTCGACATTCAGTTTTAGCATTCTTAGTAAATCACTTTACATCATCCTAAATTAAGTTTTCTCACCGCTTAAGCAGACAGAGCATACATATCCTATAGACAATAGTTCCCGGTGACAGAAGCAAGCAGCGCGGTAATCTACGCGGCCACGACCAGGAAGTACTAGCTGCCTGCGTTCCGAGCCTTCTGGAAGGAATACCCACTGAAAAGAAATTATAAGTACATTATTTCACAATCATTAACTACACAAATCCCGGGTCGAACTATTTTCAACGCTGTAAGGGTGTTTGCCAATTAAAACTAAATAATACAGGTACATAAATGTGTATGATGCAAAAAGGTTTTATATGCGCTTATCATAATTTTTGGTCCATTTTTAGACATACGACACAGCGCCATCTAGTAGTGATTTTGTGAACACAAGAACGTTAAGAAAAGCGACATCCGACGGCGCATTATTATAACTTTGTACAACACAATTATTTGTTAGAATCTTGTTATTTTGAACATAATACAGTTTAAATATGCAAAGGCTTTAACTCTTTGATTAAATTATAATCCATACTTACATACATATATGCATAAGATATATATTTGAAATATGAATACAGCTCAAAATATATAGCTTATAAAGATACCTCATAAAAAAGAAATCTTACCAATAAATACTGTAGCAATCCTTCTAAAGATGGCACTTTGAGATATAATCCACCTGTGATATCACACCCCTGCTGTAGCAAACTTAAATGCTTGTCCAACGAACAAACATCTATTATTACTTGCTGTTTCTGAAATGTTAGATATTATTTCATTATTTAAAAATACATACATTCTACAATATCCATTTGCAATTTAGCTAAGCTTGGTTGCAGTCTCTTGATATCTGCTACTTTCAAACAAAAGAACTTTGTGAGATATGCATCATATCATACACACTTCTATTAGCGTGTTTAATTAACCAAACAAAGGATAATATTTTTCGCTTTATTATAATATATCCAGTATAATTTGAGAACATTGTTTTTGATGAATAAACTCAAACTTAAATAATTGTTATTTCTCTAAGTAAAGGCTACAATATTCATCAAGTACTCATAGTAAATACTGCAAGCAAAATACCTGTGCAGTAAAGAACACATTCATATAATTAATATACTGTGCAGCAGTATCTGAGCTGCCCGTCACAATAAGAATTCTACTACTTATTTTTAATGCTGGGGATGACTCTCGACGTATCTGTAAAAATTATGATGTTAAAATATTATATCTGCTTATATATTTATACTATAGAATGAAGTTGGGTTGTAAAAAGAAACAGATTGGGAATACAAATTAGTAAATTATACATCATTTTACATTTGCTGGTGCTTTTACACCTCTGATTGAATTTCTAGTCTAATAAGAATTATAATGCTTGCTGCTTCAAGAAAGATATTTAGTACTTTGCTGCTACTGTTCTTTTTTGAGTTATTAAGGAATAACATTTAATAAAATAGATGCACTCACTCTTGAAATGAAACATAGCCCCATGGCAAGTGCTCCTGCTAGCAGAGACTCCCCTGGCTTCTCTTCTTGTGGTTGACTTTTTATTAAGTTCACTAATCTGTAGATTTAATATCAAACTGTAATAATGGACTAGGCCTCTTTCCCAATTTTGATTTTATAATCTTTAAAAACGTGTCTAGTTATTTTTTACGTGTTAGTTAATTTGTGTGCATCAAAATAAAGAATTTTTGAACTTGAATTGAATTGATTTTATAGCCATATTAACTATGTTTTCCTACAAGGCTGTGTTTTAATGAAGTTTCTATAAACTCCATTTTGAAAACATGGAACAGATAGACCATTCTGTTTTAAACATGCTTTATTTACTTAGTTTGGTTAATATGACTTACCTCATTTTGATAGTCTTTTCAACAAGTGTAAATAGCTCATATTGCCCATCAATTTGTCTTACATCCAATGGTTTGCCTGGCGATGGGTACAGATATTCACTGAAAATATTGAGTAGAACATTGAAAAGATTTTAACTTGAATGTATATACAATATCACCGTTACAATATTCAAAGAATTGATCAGGCCTCTTTACCTTTTATGAAAATGACAACCAATTACAGCTAGTTCGTTTCTTGATTTTTGCATTAAATGTGAATTGGCAAATGCAATCACCGCATCCAAACATCCTGTTAGTACTTTGGGATCCTCCGTTATATACCTTTGATTTGGATTTGTGTCAACTATAATCACTAATGTGCTACTATCCGAAGGAACTAAAAATATATTTAAAAAAGTTTCGGTAACTAGAATTTTAAACAGAATAAATAGCAGAGGTTAGTTAAATACCGTCATCATCTGCCATCGTTTTAATACAGTTTTCGTAACAATATCTAAAAAAGCATTTAAGAATTCTCGATGAGAATAATTCTGTATAGGTAACTTGTTTAATATTTTTGTTTTCTTTTCTTGCAGTAGTTTGATTTTGTAAACACTAAACAAACTAGACCTTTTTTTAAATTTTGGTGACAGCTGACAACTGACAATTTTCGAATCATTATCATCTATAACTGTCAAATTGACATTATACGATTTCAACAAAACAATACAAATCGTAGCAGGGGCCTTATGGGGCGTTCCCACGAGGCGTTAATCACGACAGTCAACCACGCTTTCGTGAAATACACTTCTGTGTGAACGCATAGGCGTTAAACTTGCTTTCGTGAGGAACGGCGCACGACACAAGCGTGGATAGATCAAACGTGTTTGATTTTCAGTCGTGATATACCGTTCGTGAAGCCAAGATGTCGTCACAACAACGTGGAATTAAGTTTAACGACAGTGAAACTACGCGTTTTTTGGAGTTATATTCTATGGAAAAGGTGTTATATGATCCAAGTTTGGAGGAATACCGTGATAGAGATTTACGCCGCCGCCGCCGCCGCAGCTATGAGAATAAGTCATGAATGAACGTCTTTTTTTCGTTTTCTTGTGTCATGATCTTTTTGCTATGATAGTAGCAAAAACCGAACTAAAACAGCACAACTTTCAACAACCAGATCATTCATGATCGATGTTTCGATAATGACTAAGTCGAAACACGAAGCGTGAACGGCACGAAATCCCCCAACCATGTGAACGTTTCATCAATTCACACTTTCGTGAGTGTCACGAACGACAGTTGACTAGCGTAGTTGACTGTCGTGATTAACGCTCGGTGGGAACGCCCCATTAGTCAAGATGCCTTAACAGTAGTGTATGTAGAAAGTCAAAAATTAAATTTGTATTAAAACTTTTCGACACGAACTGTCATTTCCATACAAATTTAGTTTTCGACTTTCTATATACACTACTGTTTAGGCATCTTGACTAAGGCCCCAGTTGCTTCATATATAATAAAGTTTTGTTGTAAGTAAATTTTATAAAATAAGATATATAATAAATATTCAACACCGAAGAAAGTACAAACCACAACTTCTTCTACTAATACTTGAGTATTTATATTGTGTTGCCATTATTTGATTGCAAATAAACTGCTTATATATTTTGTATAAAATATGTTACTGTATACACAGTAACATTTATTCGCAACATTAAACAGTACCTATACCATAGATTTAGTATGCTTGGTTGGTTTCACCAAATGTTAATTGTTTCCAATAACGCCATTTCATTTTTGTAATGTATTTCTTTTTGTACAATGAAAATAAAATCCGTTTGTTGCGGACAGTTATATCGTGTTGTCCACTCATAAGACCTCGACGTCCGTCGTTCTACTACTGAGCTTTATTTAACACAGTTACCAACTGCAGTACTTTCGTAGCAATTCAACATATCGACGTAGGAAAGCACATTTGCTGTAAGTAGACATATTGCAATTGTTCACCAGAGCCAAAAAACTTTATTAATTTCGGAAAAAAATTAATAGTGTCTGACCTATCCATGATATTGCTACCATTTTTGAAACATATATTTATTTAACTGCCAGTCACCATTTGCAATGTAAACTTTTTATCCAAAGTTACTATAAGTACGTGTTTGGCTAGTTACAGCAAACAATTTTTTAAATCACAAACCTTTAAAACGCTGTAACTAAGGAAGAAAAATGTACGCGCGGAAATATTATCAATTTACAGGCGGTAAATATGCTGTATGCAGGAAATTTATGTATTTGGGTACTTTTAATTGCAATTCAAGATGTAAGATTAGTTTATAATTATGATTAGATCTAGAAATGCAGTGGGTCATTTGGTAATGTAATGTTTGGTTGAAATAAAATGTCGTAAATGGTAAAAAAAAACCAAAACTGTAGGTTCCCTAAACTTGCTGTAAGTAAACGAATGTAAAAATCACACGCCGCTGAAATGCTGTAAGTAGCGTTAAGTTTTTAAATGGGAAGAAGTAAGTATTTGTAAAGAAAAAAATGCAGATTTTCTTTTGCTGTAAGTGCAAAATGTCTGAAATGACTAGATTTTGGTCTACATACAGCATTTAATCTAGCTAAAAATAATATAAGTACGGGCGTTTTCAACGGCGTATGTAATTTTTTTTTCATCGTAGAGACACAGGACCCAGGTCATTCGATGCGGCTTTTTTTCTGATTCTAATGGCAGGAAAAAGTCACTTTAGGTATTTTGTCTACTTACAGCAAATATGCTTTCCTACGTCGATATCAAGAAAAGTCAAAAAAAGCCTTCTGGAATTGAAAGTGTCCTTGGGCGGCGGTATCACTTAACATCAGATGGGCCTTCTGCCCGTTTGCCCATCGTCTATAAAATAATAATTTTAGTCAAAAGTTCTCATAGCACGCTTCTATATTATTTTACAGGCTGTCAATTTGGACACGCATCTTAGGCTAGCTGCGAAACCAAAGAAATTAATTTAACGATGACCATAAGGTGACAGATGTCATAACATCCTGGAGTCATATTTGTCAAAAGGGCATTCCGGGCATTCCTGCCCACGACTATGTTATCTTAAAATATTTTTATACTAGGGTTGTAATTTAAATGAGATTTTTTACCTTCCAAGACTTCTTCAAAGGTTCTTTCGCTACAATGTAATTGCGAAACGATTAATAAAATAAAATTGACTTTTTATTATCCTAATACAAGGCCCTGAGTTCGATTTTCAATAATTGAATCAGGTTAAGAGATGACATTGCAAATTCAAATACAAACAGTAAAACAAATGCCAACATAATTTCAAAATCAGCCAGCATCATAGAGTTACGTCAATACCTACTAATTGGGTTTTACATAATTATAATATGTATGTTAAAACCAACATTTTTGATAAAACAGAAAACACGTAAAGTGTTTTTATTTTAATTGCTCTAAATATTGTTGGCTAATTATTTTAGAACATTAACACGTGAAGTACCTATCGTGTTATCAAGTAAATTATAAATAACTAATAATGACATTATTAACTAATGACTGTTTAGCAGTTAACAGTTTCCGCTTTACACAGCTGTTTTTTAATGATATAGATATGAAATGAATCGCTTTATTCTGCACTTAAACGATTTTTTTTTTGTTGTTGGGAATTGTTGGATTTTTTTTGTGTTTGTTACATTTTACAGACCCCGCGCCGAGACTCGCTTAAGGCTCGCTTAGAGGCAAACCTGCGGCGAGTACTTACAAGTACATTCCTCTTCTCACTACTAAACGACGTATATTTATAATTATATCCATTTTTGTATGTAAATGTTAATAGGTAACATTATACCATATCGCGGAATCATTTTACACTTGCCTTAAGGTTATTCGGTAGGTACTTCTTCTTTTTTCAAGCTGATTGTTAATTCTGAATATACATTAGGTATAATTAAAACATAACAAGTGATAACCCTGTGTGTAAGTACTATTTAGCGCAGTGGCATCGAATCCATCACTCTAGACATTGTTTAAGTTGACTTCAACTTGTTTCGATAAAATCTTCCTCGTGCCCATGTAATTGTCTGCTTTTTATTGTTTAGTCCTAGTTAACATGTGACAAGCGTTGTTTTTTTATTATGCGATATTATTGTCTATTATAGATTATATTTTTTGATATTCCAGTTTTATATTGTTACCTTATTAATCTGTCTTTTTATCTGTGTGCTTGATTCCCAGACTGTGATCCCACGTAAAATCTCGCGATTGCTTATTAGCTCGATAGTAGATAAATGAATACATAAGAATTTTGTATACTCAATGAGACTTTATGTTTTATTTTATAAGTCAGGAAGTTAACAGCGCAGGCAGCTGCTTCTCTAGGGTTATATTTTAGGGTAACTAGACTTAGCTTAAATTTCCAAAGTGGCCAACCCGAACACCCTTCGATATACGCTGCTGGCCCTATTATTAAAAGTAAAGTCGATGTCCAATTATATGTTTCAGGTAATTCCAACTAACGTTAAAAGTGATTTCGAGCGGCGTTTTTTTATGTTGACATAGATTCTCATGTTTTATTCATTCATTCGCTAATGATGTTTCGCTTTAATTACAATAAAATAAACATCAACAGCACCTTGTTACGATGTCATTACTGTGATTTACAATCCCCTGATAGCGCTCGTAAGACGGGAGCTTATTATTGCTATACAATTGTTTTATCGATGTTGTAACCGGCGCTTGCAGGTGACAATGCTATTTGAGCTATAAAGACTTTTTTACGCATAATTGTTGAAGGTGCGTTGTTTTAAATTTTTTTTTGTTTTAAAGGTCAGTGCACAGTAGCCTCGTCTAATTAGGTACACGTGCGGCTTTTTAAGACTTAATGTCTAGTTCTATCATGAAATTTACAAAGTATTAGTATAACATATCTAATCTTCATTAAAACGGGCTTTTATTAAGACGGGCGATTAAAAAGTGTGGCGAAGAGTTTATTGCCAGTTCTTCTCTTCCGTTCTACGACCTTGATTTGAGAACTGGCAGTAAATGTAAAATTAGAAGCATTTAATGTATATTTCTTTTTTTACGTTCATAAGTGTACATTGTGTTACTTATATGAATAAATGATTTTGACTTTTTTTGACTTCTTATTATATTATAGCGTCTAGTATAGTGCACCATAAAACATAATTGCACTCTCTGTTCCATAACTCTTATGCTGTGATGGAAAGGATGAGAGCCCCTTATCAAAGCCGGAGCAGAATCACGACGGGAAGACGCAGGACCGACAGTTTAACGTGCTCGTCTCGGCATGAGGCTTAAGCCTCGTTATTAATAGATACAGATTTTAGGGTAAAAAATATACATGCTATTGGTTGATGTATTCGTTTAGTAGTTACATATTAGAACTTTAGATGGCAATTCTGTCGTATAACGTTTTGTGTTATCATTAGCACGTATACAGTCTGTAAACAGTGTGAATATAGAA